ATTAATGGTCTTTGAAGCTAAGCCTACATTCGCAAAATAGTGCGAAAGCCGACGAAAGCGGGCATAGGTCGGGAATTTTAATGCTGATGTGAAAAAATCACATGTGTAGCCATTTTATCAAAGCTCATATTTACAGTAAAATATTATACAAATGTATATCGCATTTATAATGGTTTGAAAAGTTAACGATGTTAACGAAATAAGTTGAGCTACTTTAAAACGAATGTTACGGATATTAAGTTAATGTAAGTAGATTACAGAATGATATGATTAATGACATCTGATTTTATTGTTTACGAGAGCATCTACCTCAAGCAAAAAAAAATTTCAATATCTTTACTTAATTTATTTCATTTATATATGTTATAGTTCTTATTTATATAAACTTTGAATTTATATACTTTGAATAAATATAAAGTTTTGTTACATTAGAACATTTGTGCTAAATGATATATGCTTTTGGAGATATGGATTTTGGACACATACATATAAAGAGGAATATTTTTAGTTCACCAACGTTAAAAACACTCCCTTTAGTATCATAAAAGTGATCCATGCTTTGATAAGTTTTCTGTATCTGCAATAAATAGATTTAAATTATTTCAACAAAGCAACGAACTCTAAAATGTCACCAGCACTTGGTGAAAAATTGGATTGGACTTTGGCTAAAGAAGCAGAAAAATTAATTGTGCTGCAAATTTTTAATATTTTATGTAGATACAAACAATATTAAAAATTGCTGTTTTATCAAATAATAAATAAGAATGCACAAAATGTTTAATTGGGATTGGGATAAGTTTAAAAAAAAAGTAGAATAACAAAAAATGTTTAGGATTAAGTAGAACAGTATCCGTTTTAATTACTATTATTATTGTTGTTATTGTGACATAATGTCACTCTTAACGGAGTCTGAAAATGATTGCATTAAAATTTAAAGAACTTACTGCGCAATAGCTACGTAAAAGCAAGTACGTAATTAATAATCCACTTCTATTCAATATACAAAAATATTTAAACCAATGTCGGTTTTTAAATGTTTATTGTATGGTCATATTTTTAGGTTGGTACTTACAATTTATATATATCTCACTCGTTGCAATATATTATGGCAAAGCAATATAAGCAATATTAGAACAACAATTGCAATTTATGCCTAATACTTTTAGTGAACGCACACATGATGTAAAAGAAAATTGTGATTATTATATGTTATATAGTTATTATTACCAGCGTATATGTTGCAAAAGGATAGGAAAATTTTCTTTAAGTTATTGTTGAAAAGTTAAATCAAACTTTTGAATTTGCAAATTAATGAAAATTTAATTTGAGTTTAAATTACAGTGGCAAATGCTTAAAACGTTTTGTAGTTGCGTTCCTAAATCTTAATTTATTAACCTCCAACTGAGTCAGTTGTCCTCTCGCAACAGGGAACACTTCACTTCAATACATAAAACGAAAATCTCACTTATCAGAAGATTACATATGAAATAAATTGATGTTTACATACGTGAAAATGTATTTTTAAAATATGGCATACTTTTGAGTGTTGTGAATGTGCTTATGACACTACGTGCCTTTCAATGTTTCAGTTCTGGAAATAATCAATAGCATCATTGCCACGAAAATAATCATCCTTGATTAAATCAACCCCATTTTACCAATCATATCTGCGTATTTTTACAACCAACGCATCGGAGATTATAAATCAATTTTGTAGGTTTAGTCAAGATCAAAAACTTAATTTCGAGTCAGCAATGCGGAAACAATTTCCAAAAATTTTTTTAAAAGATAATGAATTAATATTAGTTAACTTTAAATATGCCGAAGTCATAAGTAGTTATATACTAAGCTAATCTCATGTAAATTATTCGGATACCTTTGATACCATCAACTAAAATTTTTGTCTTTTAGTTAAGGAGAAATACATTACTCGTTGCTTCAATTTATCTCCAGTTAGTCTCAGAAACAAGTGAGAATGATTTCAAAATGATTTCAAAATTTCTGTTCGCAGGTCTGCTTTACTTTTGTAGTCAAATTAATTATTCACTGCGATTTTGAAGTCGATTTTTTCAAATTTTTTATCCAACCAACGTAAGCTGTCAATAATTCGTGAAATATGTAATGAATTTTTTACCAAGAGGAAGACATAATTGCAAATGAAGCAAAATAAGTACCAACAAACAATGCCTGCGGCCTCTTCATGTAAAATAAAATCCTTACAACCTGTCAATTTCCCATGAGGCATCAGTTGAGCAACAAACGAAATTGACATTTAATACAATAGCATGTGCCATATTAATGTTCATTTGTTGCAGATTATGGGAGTGGCATAAATTTCTACGTTACTCATTGCATAATCCTTAATTAAAGTTTGATCAAGAACATTATTATTATTATTCAAATTTAGTCTAAGCGCAATAAATATACCTAGATATTACTTCCCTGTACTCTGATAGTACTCTGATATAATAGTATATGAAGCCAAATTGGTTTTTAGTAAATATTTATTATTGACTATATTAGAGTTAAATATTGAAGAAGTAACTGTCAATCTATAGTTTTTTTTGGGGTCATTAATTATTACCCCTATAGAAAACAAGCATAGATGCCCGTAACGTAGATGCCTATAATCAATCATTTGGGCGAAGGACAAAATAAACAAATTTATAAATATTCATCTATACAAAAATTTATTTTTTACATAAGTTATCTACGTGTTAATTTCAATTGAATTGTAGTTTTATGCACAAAATATTGTTCCAACGCAAAAGCCGATAGGTTGCAGCGAATTTTTAAAATAGTGAAACCAAATATACAATTCACATCATCAAAACAAGCTCATTATTATAACCTAAGACGAAGAAGCTGGAAACCGAGCAGATGGGAGATCGTCCTCTCCACAACTGCGACAGCTATGGTTGAAAGGGTCTCCTAGCATGGTTACCTAAAATACAATGACCTGTAAGCAAACATACTACAAAACTGATATCTCTAGGGGGCACAGCCACAGTAACGCAAGTCTTTCGCATTCTTAATTGATATATTGTATTAGTCAGCTTTGTAATCCTATATGTAAATCATAAGGCATCTCCAGTTAAACCTCAAGTAGTCGATACGTTCCGTAAGATCTTAAGTCAAAGCGAAATGCACAACCAATCATACCTGTGGATTTGATAGAAACGAAATAAACAAAGTTCGCCGCTTTTATTTATCATTTACTTTTCAATAAGTAGTAAAAAAGTTATAAGGGTTAAGAGTTCACTTAATTTTTGCGAAATCTTAATTTCGCTAAATTATTACATTGCACATGCTAACACGAAATCACAAATTTGTGTTTTGAGCAATACACCCAACTCTCTTTTTACACGGTAGATGCGTTCCTTAGAAAACCGTGTAAAAAAAAATCGTGTAAAAAAATACATATGCTATATGGTAAATTTGGAGATATGTTCCACAACTTAAAAATATCGCGTAAGACGAAAACATTCGAAATATTTTTCCATAAAATCGTGTAAAAAAATTTATAAAATAAATCCATATTAATTAAAAAAAAAATTTATTTTGTTACAAAAGTAAAATATATTGTATCAAACTTTAATGTGAAATTGGCAATTACTTATCGTTATTTGATACAAGCATGCACGTTTATTACGAACAATCTTAAAATGCTATTATCAGTATTAGTAGTAACTGTTTTTTTTTTAGTTGGAAAAAAATCTGTTATTTGGTGCTTTTTTTGGTTTTTTAATTTGTTTATACAATTCTTTATATCCAGCTTTACAACAGTTAAGATTGCGTGTAAATTGTAATGCACACTCCATGTCAGGATCATAAGTTAGAAAATGTTGCTCTATACTTTTTGCATATTTCAAGCCTTCTACTTCATTATAATCGACTTCTTTACTGTCATCAACTGTCATAAATTCAATTAAATCATTTTCATGTAAAGAAGTTTCTCGCATCCATTCATTTATATCAGACACTTGCATGTTGCTAAAACCTTCGCCACCAATTGCATTTGATAAAGTTATAATTTCAGCACACATAGCTGATTTTTGTTCTACAAAGCTTTCACTTTTGGTGCATGATGGCAATCGAAGTGCAACAAAATAATAAAACTAATTTAAAATACGGATATTTCCCGAATTTTATTTTGTTACTGTATACACAAGTGTACAAGATATTAAAAAAAATTATATACAATTAAGAAAAATTTTGTGGGAATTCGTGCAAAATCAAAAAATTCGTGTAAAAGATGTATTTTGTGTTTAATTTTGAACCGTGTTATTTCAAAATCGTGTAAAAAAAGAGCGTGTAAAAAGATAGATGGGTGTATATTATTAATCGTTAGCAAAATACTTTATAAAGTAATTGTTTTTTCTTGGCTAACTAAGGAGCCATACAGTGTACCCATTGTCGAAATCAAATTTTTATATATATAATATCAAAAGAGAAACATATATGCCAAAGAAGATAATATATACATAAGTATCTTAATATCATCATGTGCTTGTTTCTCAAGTTTTTGTAGCTCTAGTTTTTTACTTGGTTACACATCCACAATAACACCAATCAATTGGTGTTATTGGTGCTATTGTGAATCTCATACTTAACTTTCCATAAAACAATTCAAATTAATTTGGTTGTCAGATCGAGTTGAATCGTTTTGTTATATTAATTGGAGCGAATACAGTTAAAATCAAAATTAAGGAATTTGTACTGTGTGAATATGCAATTATGACACATATGATGTCTGTTTTGCAAAGAAATGACTAAAAAGTGTGACACAGGAATAAGTTTTTAAAACGATAATGAAAAAGTTTTTAAATTTATATTTATCATCTATATTTCTGAGCAAATTATTCGTTATTTTTTAAATTATTGATATGTATTAAGATTGAATTTAGATGCATTAATAAATTAAAAATTAATTTTGAAATAATTAAACATTTGAATAATTTTTGATAATATTTTCTATTATGTGGAAATTCATAGTGCCATCTATCGACAAATTTTATAAAAAAAATCGATTCTCGTTTCAAATGCCAAATGATTAATTTATTGTTCAGTGGCAAAAATGTACTTCCTTTCTGTCAAATATTTTGACCAAGGTTGGTCTAATTTTGCAATAGGGTGAAAAAAAAAATCAATCTGAACGTTTAAACTCACTTTAAGAAATAAAAATTTGTAGTAATAAACGCTTATTGAATAAGCGTTAAGAAGCTGACTTTATTTTTGTAATAAATTAACATTTAATTGTGAGGATGCTTTCAGATTGTGTTTATGTTTTTAATTCTATAGCGATGAAAGCAAATCGTTTTATTGTTTTTTAATTTATTGTTTATACAAATTATTTTGCAGATGATTGGTTCGAAAATAGTGAAACCAGGCGGTATAGAGCCAGATGATTTCGAAAAGTCGATTGCTCAAGCACTTTCGGAACTTGAAGCAAATAGCGACTTAAAACCGTATTTGAGAGATTTGCACATAACTCGAGCCCGTGAAATTGAATACGGTACTAAAAAGGTATGCACATTTTTTAAACATAGTTTCATTAATATTGTTATTTTGTTGTTGTAGGCTGTTATAATTTATGTACCAATTCCACAACAAAAAACTTTCCAAAAGATACAAATTATTTTGGTGCGTGAACTTGAAAAAAAGTTCTCTGGAAAGCATGTTGTAGTGATAGGAGAACGCAAGATTTTGCCAAAACCAACACGCAAATCTAGAAATCCTTTAAAGCAAAAACGTCCCCGTTCCCGTACTTTAACTGCTGTATATGATGCTATCTTAGAAGATTTAGTGTTTCCAGCAGAGATCGTAGGCAAACGTATTCGTGTCAAATTGGATGGCACCCAATTGATAAAGGTGCATTTGGATAAGAACCAACAAACGACCATTGAGCACAAAGTAAGTGTTATTTATTTCATTAAATCTTATTTTGCACTTGTGTTTTTTGCTGTTTAAAATTAGTGGTCCAATGTTTCGTTTACGCTTCATTGCTCAAACTGAATTGTAGCTCATTCATATATTGGTAACATTCATCAAATTTAATGAGTCTAGCAATTAACTTGCAGCAATTAATTCAATGTGTCTAAATAATAATAATTCATTAAACAGAATAATATAACAATTTTGCATGAATTTAAATTTAATAGTTTCCCGCGTTCTTGATTTAATTCTAAATATATATAATATGATTTTCAGGTCCATAGTTCAGGCCTATTTTAATATATTTATTTATTGGCTCGTTGTTCAGGTCAAGAATTGTCAAGAAGAGCTCAAAGCAAGTGCATTCAAGAAAGTTTACTTAGTTTCCAGCTGCAGTTAGGAATTGCATGATACTCTACAGTATCGACACTTACATTTTTCAAAAGTATTTTGCACTTATATGAACACTTCGTAAATATGAATATTTACTTTTACCAATGAGCTCTCTTAGACATATATGTTATTTAACCTAGGTTTTTTACATAATCAAACTATTTTGTTCGTACTGTTATAATGAAAAATTTATTTTTGCCCGCAAGTAAGGTTTATAGATTGCCGCTTAAGGTGTGTGAGAATAGAAACAACTTTTTGTCGACAAAAAGTCATTGAACTTATATGCTTACTATAAAAAGTACAATATGCATGCAACACGTGTTAGGAGTTGTCCGGAATTGATGCATAAACAAAGAAAGTCTGAAGGGCTTCGTATATCGGAAATAAGACTAAATTTAAATTTAGTACTATAATTTATCGAAGAATCCATATAGTGGACGCAATGGATTCTAGACACAGTGAAAAATGCACCCAACTTAAAAGAATCGTTTTCTTTCAATACCAAAAAAGTATCGAAAAAAATTTATAAATACAAACGTAATTGATATGAAAAAAAGGCATCGAGCAACCATTGTTGCTTCTTTCCATATCGTGTCGATATTTTTAAAGCCGTTATTTTGCCTCTCATGCGCTTATACATAGCAAAATGAGATTTCCTGTAATTTCGGCAAATAAAAAATCTTTGCATCAATGTGCATTTCTAAAATAGGATTGCAATTTATGTAATAAGATTACAACAAATTTATTTTATATTTTTTATTTGGAATTTTTTTAAGGCCGTTTGCTTGCTTTCATATATTGAAATTAATTTCTTTGTTTTGCTTTTGTTTCAGGTTGATACTTTTACTTCTGTTTATAAAAAACTCACTGGCCGAGATGTAACTTTCGAGTTTCCAGACAATTACTTGAATTTGTAATTTTTAAACTTTAAAATTGCTTTAAAAAATAAAACATACAAAATTTGTAACTATTTGTTTTGTTTTCAATGTTATGATTGTACTATGGTTGTAGTAGGTATATGTAAAAAGTCGGCATTGTGGATATACGAATAGTATAGAAGTTAAAAAAATACCATAAGTTTCTAAAAACTGAATTAGATGTCTAGAAGAGAAAACTAATCAAATATCGGTAAAAATTAAAAGAAACATGATTAAATTAATAAATACAGCATTTGAGGAAATAATGAAGTATTTGAAGTATACCTACTTGATTATTCAATTATAAATATATATGTAGAATCATGGAATTGTTAATGTATTTATTGTAAATTTTGTATTACTATTCATTTGTTTGAAAAAACCAAAGTTTTTGAAAATCTACTTAGGATAAATAATATCTCTACAATATAATATAACAAAAAATTATGTAAACTAAGGATTAAATAAATTTATTTGTATATATATTAATATATATCATGCCGATCATAAACATGGCATTTGGACCTTCTAATCTTTATAACATGACATTATATTCAAGTAATAACAAAATTAGCTTCTGAAGTCAGTAGGATAAGTAAATAATAGGGTGTCATTAATTTGTTTAATATCTTTTCAATAAAGATTCCTTGCATTGTTCCTTAATCATTAAACTTATTTATTTTATATGAATGACTCATATTTCTACTTAATACTTAGCTCAGCGCAAGTAAAAACTAAGTCTAGATTAGATTAAATACTAAGTCTAAATTAGATTAAATACCTAGGATAATAATATAGCACTGATCAAACCGTACTCCTACAAAAACATTCTTAAATTCTAAAAAGGTGATTTAAGGTTGATAACAGGTTTCATTACGGGACATTATGATCTAATATATCACCTTCATAAACTACAATTATCTGCTAACGCGGCATTCAGATCATGCCTCGATGATGAGGAAACTAGTATGCATATTCTTTGTGACTATCCAGCTTTAACAACACACAGAAGAAACTTTTATTATATGGAATATCTGTCACCAGAGCAGATTAAGAGCACTTCTCTAGATTTAGTTCTGGACTTTATTCACAAAGCTAAAAAAAGGGCTTTATGTAATCAATAGTGAAATTGGTACAATAGGTAGATCCGGCTGTTGAGCGATTTCACGTCAATAATTTTAATAAAAATAAATAAAAATCCTTTAATAATAATCATTCCACAATATTTAATACATCTTCTGAGTTAAAAACATTTACTTGTCATTTTGTATATGTAAAATTTGCCCTTCAGTTGTAAAATGTAGTATTAAAATTTTGTTTGTGTAGAGGAGACGTAAACATTTTATCTTATCTTTGCAGCTGTGTCAATACTATGTACTTATTCAAAGGCAATTTGAAATTTTCTATCTAAAAACTGCCGTTGTCACTCTTGTTTGTGTAAAACTATTAATGAACCGCACACCTGCATGTGCTCTAAATCATTTACTGATACAAGTATTTAACACCTGCGAGACGAGGGCTTTTTTATTTAAAAGTTATGAGTAATTGGAAACTAATTTTTAACATATAAAGATCATCGCTTTATACTACATATGTGAACACCTTACCTATATATTATATAATTGTGAAAAATGTACTGGCTTTTATACGCAATCAATATATGTATATACATATATAATAAATTAATGGGCATATCTAATATGTAGTAAGTTTTATTTTAAATATTTTGAATTGATAATACTAGATATTTTCCCCTATGTAAGAATATTAAATTCTTTCCACTAAACTCTTATAGCTGCTTTATGTCACTACATTTTTTTTTTCAATGGGTTCTGACCATAAAACAGAATTATCGAAATCAAATAAATACTTGCCTAGAATTCAAATTCGTATACAAATATATTAAATATGTGCGGATATTGGTAGGACAATACACGATACAGTAGTTTGTATTGCTATGTACTTTAATAAGTTACATATGTATGTATATATTTAACCGGTCCTAGAGATGGCTAACCCAAATGACTCAATCCCTAAAACTATACAGTTGGTCAGTAAACATACATACCAACATTCTGTTTCCACTGCAATTACCTGTTAATATTAGTGAAGCATTTGGTTGCTTGTACAGTTTTTTTCTATTTCCAAAATTGAAATTTTAGCGTTGTAAGTGTCAGCTCGGTGTTTCGAAGCGGTAACGATTCAACCATAGGAAATCGTAATGGCTCGTAAACATGCACACATAAGATTCACTAACACATAAATGGAGTATTGGTGTTTCTATTATTGTGCTAACAAAACCACCAACGCAGTATTGAACGATAGAAAATTGTTAGATTGATTACCCAGTAAAAAAAGCGAAGTTCTTTTGTTTTAGAATACACGCTTCCTATGTTTATGTATATGCAATTGGAAAAAAGTTCTTAACAAATTTAAATTTTCATTTTTTATTTGGTTTTTCACGGTTTTTACCTTTGCAACAATCAACATCAAAATGGAGTAACAATTATTATAGATGGAGGCACATGGAACAGTTGAAAATATGATCATTTGTTTTTATTTAAGACTTATTAATAACTTATGTTATTCACTGAAGGAAAACATTGCTACAAATTAAACTCTAAATTCTAAACTCAAAAATTTAAATAATTGGCATAATTTTTATATCGTGTTTTATGATATAAAAATTATGCCTAATTTGGAGTTTAAATGACAGTTATATATATATATAAATGTTATATATATGATGACATGCACAATACATTTCTTTAAAATATTTTTTCTTGTAATATGATTATTTAAAGACCTGAAAATATTTCCACATTTATGTATTTTAATGTCCTAATTATTAGTTTTATATACCGCGAAAATTGGATAATATTGGGTGGAGAGACTTAATACATCATTGTATAATCATACTGACATCACAATAAGCCTATCAAAAACGGAGTTATAATTTTTTTAAAGATGAATCACTAAAATATTGCACTAATATATAAAAACCAAAAAATAACTTTAACCGAAAAATCACTTATAAAATAAACAAAAGAGTGTTTTCAAATTTAAGTTAGAAACTTAAACCCATTATATATATTGCTTAAATGGAGCAGAAATTTTGTCTGCTGGGTAATCGTCTTTTATGACTGTTGCTACAGTTTTATAGTAGATGAGAATCTATTGTGCCGATGGCCCTATTATTTAGTTGTTACAGTTTGTTCAGTTCAGTAAGGCTTGTTATTTTTAACGAAATATTATATTCCATATTTAACCAAAGGTGATATATAGTGAAACATTACTAACACAATTTAAATAAATTAATTTTAAATTTACTTGATGTTATAAAAGATTTGATCAAAAATCGACTATTAGAATAGCTATATGTAAATTAGAAATTTTGGTAAAGTAAATTTCTGGATATTTAAATTTTATAAAATAAATTGCTAAAATACTGTTCAATTGGGTTTTTTTTTATTAAAATGTTTAAAAATAATGACAACAAATTAATATAGTAATTTTATTATATGTTATATTAAAAATGAAGAACTATTATCATTGTTAACGTAAATTCATAAATATTTAATAAATATTAATTATTTATTCTTAACATTAATTTTTTAATATTTAATATATGTATGTTAATTTTGTAGAAAATAAAATTTAATGAAAAAAAGATAAATAAATCCTTATGAAGTATTTTATGAAGCATTACATTTTAGTACATAACATTAAAAATAAGTCCTAAGTGCGTAGCTATTTAATAGAGTAATGATATTAATAAATATTTCTTTTGACCAATTTTTGAAATGTTAGTATATAGAAAATGACTAACCGCTTTATTTACATTTAGTCATATTGTTAACTATTTGTTTTCTTTTACACGTGCAAGCGACATTAGTACGAAATATGTAAAAGGTGCTGTAATAAGTGGTGAAGTTCAATGTAATAAAGTTAAAGGGCAAATTGGGTTTGAGTTTTGGACAAAGTTGTGTATATACATTGTATTTCATCTTATTAGAACGTACTTACGGTTTGAACTTACTACGCACATTAATTTAAATTAAAATACATATTGAACAAAATCAAAATATTCAGTATAAATAATTTTTCACTATTTTTTATTAACAATATTCCTATATATATTTTTGTGCTAAACAGAAATTATGTGTCTTTCTACACCATCTCCACAAAAATCAAATAACGACGATACTCCTTGCGCAAATGTTCGTTCTAATCATAAAGAGAACATCCCAATTCGCACAAACGCCAAAAATGGCAACATTCTATTCAGGAAACATCAAAAACAAATAAGCGGAGTAAACTCAGATTCACGCAGTAGTACAATAGAACTGGAATATATTGATAAACTTAGGCATACAGAACAAAATGCAGTCTATAAAGAATTATGTCGATGTGAGAGTAAAACGTCTCAAAGAAAAGATAAGGATGTAATTTATGAGCCGCATATTAGATGGCCAGACTTAGCAGCACAGTCATTTCTGCACTTTGGTGCCTTGTACGGTTTATATTTACTATTTTCAGTGAAATATCAAACGTTATTTTGGGGTAAGTAAAAATTTTCGATTTAAGAAGACACTAACTATAACATAAATTCTATTTACAAGTTACGAATTATATACATATATATTATAAAAATTGAAAGCTAAAGCAGTAGCTTTCAAGCTTTGATTGAGATGAGGTTTCGTAGCAAAATAAAGTGAATGCTTTTCTCTAAAAAAAAGTTTTTCATTCTGAGATTACCCTAAAAAAGCGAATAAAATTTATAAATTTGTATTACTTGCCTTTTTTATTGTTATATTCATAATAATAGAGATAGTTGCTATAACTATTAAAAAAATTTGATTTTACGTTTAAAAATAAAAATTTCATTGAAAAATACCTAATTGTGATATACATTAAAAAAGATCACTAACAATCAAACAAGAAAATCACTTTAAAATATATATGTATGTACGTATGCTAATTTTATCGTCTTCAAAATATACTGGCATAAATATAGATACGTCAGTAAGCGTTGAAACGTTTGAACCAATTGTTAATTGAAATAATTAATATTTATTTAGCAAGTGTCTACATGTGACTCTCTTAAGTCCAAAGTGTTAAAGTAGTTCTCTTCCAATGCCTAGCGATAGTTAAAAATTTGAGTGCAATCATACACTATAAGTGTATGTTCTTATAAAATGTTTTCATAAATTATTTAATGTTTATGGAAATGAACTTTGACCACTTCACTTCAGTTAATTTAAATGAATCAATTGCTATTAAATTTCTTACGAAACCGTTAAACTTGAATTATTTTTCTATTAGTTTTAGTAATTTTATGATCCGACTAGTTGTTTTAAAAGATACAAATTCGCAACTCTACTATTACATTATTTTTGGTTAAAATAAATTCAAGTCAGAAGTTTTACTCAGATAAGAAATCTAGTGTCAAGTAATATATTTAATTTTTTCATTGACTCAGCACAAAAAAAAACCACCAGAAAAAGATGAACCAAGATTAACTATTTCGAAATGATTCCAATTTTCGCTGTCTCCAAGGGTTCAGAGCAACTTTTCAAAACTTTTTTGAGGTACACGTTCGCAGTAACTTCGACCTTGATCAAAACCACCAGTAGAACACGACTAGGCACCGTCATTGGCAGTATAACCACCATAAGCTGTGGTGGTTAACTTTTATTCCTAATTTTTGTATAATTTCTCTACTCAAAAATATTATTTAGTTTCTAAAAAGATTTTTCCAACAGTAGTAAACTACAACAACAAAAAATCATTTTATATTATTTTAATTAATTGAATTTTTGGCTGACCATACAGTTGTTTCGAGTATTGCCAAATACCCATCATCAGTGAAATAATTCTTATATTTAATTATTCGTAAATAATTTTTTGAGACTACTTATTTCCCGAATTTCTCAATTGGGATATATTCCTCACCTCAGAAGACGATATTATGATTTTCCCTGTTTTAGTCCAATCACAATACTTTGTGATTTGTTTGTTTGTACTTCGTGGAAATATTGATTTTAGAAGTTATAAAACAATTCAGATTTTTTAACACTGCAGTTATTGAAAACCTTTTTCATTATCAGCTGCTTAAAGCTGATTTTACATTCGAAATCCTTAATAGAAACGATTTTTTTCCAAAACACAAATACAAATAGTTCATTTGAAATGTTCTATAACTAAAGAAATCAGATGTGATTCCGTTAAATACCGACACAGTGTTACCATCAATTCGAAAGTTAAAGCACATTTATTGATACAATAATAACAGATCAAATAGCAAGAATCGCTACTTTCACCAGCTATACATATTGGTGCTTCTTTGACTTGGATGGTAAAATAAGAAAATAAAGTGATGGAGTCTAAAACAATATAAAAACTATAGTTACAAATTTGTATCTTCTGTGAAAACACCCATTAATTTTCAGATTTTCAACGTACAGAAATGGCTTGATATGTAATGCAAATAAATAAGCCCTAAGAGCTTTTAAAATTCGCCAACAAAAGTTCATAATGAAACTTTACCAACTACAATTACTATCAAATATAGTAGATCATATTTGAATTGCATTTGCAGTGAGACATGCTAAAGTGACAAGGGCTGAAAATCCTGTAGTTGTAAATAAGAAAATTAATCAATATAAATCGTTCAAAGTTATATCAAAAAGAATATTTAAAAATTAATGACGGTATTAAAGGTTACTTACTTACTTAGTTGGCCATTACAGACGTGAGTTGAGTAGCCTACGCTAGCCAATCCGAGCAGTTGCTTGCTGTCGCTAGTAGGTAGTACCGAGCGCCTCCAAATCGTTGGTCAACTAGTCCTTCCAGTTCGATAGTTAAAGGAAGTCCTCTACTGCGTTTTCTATCTGTAGGTACCAAATCAAACATCTTTCTAGCCGGAGCACTTTCTTCCATTTGCACGACATGGCCAAGCCAGCGAAACCGCTGAATTTTTATGCGCTTAACTATATAAATTATTTCCTTATCCGAGGCTGACTCTTTGTTTTCATTGGAAGGAATGTTTATATGGTGGGTTCCAACCCGACGCATAATCTCATATATCCATGAGGAGGATTTCGCTGCACACAATAGTTCACTATGTACGGATGATTGCAGCTTTCCAGAGGGAGCCACAAGAAGCCTGTGTGTCAACAGGGTACGCGTTGGCATTTACCATGTTAAATGCAATCAGACACTTTATCTTGTATGTTCACTCTCTCTCTCTCGACAAGTATAAAAGGTTAGTCAGTTCCAAATAAATCAATTATCGACTGTTTTGCACATTCAAAGAAATAAATTTTTATATGATTGTGTTTATTTATTATTAACGATTTAATAGCAAGTTCTTAATTGACTATTTTGATATTCGTAAATAAACTTATAATCATACTAAGGTTCTTATCTCAAAAAAAATATTCTTCTTTATCAAGTTTATTTAACATATATTATATATATTATATTAGATTTTTTAATTTATTTTTTATTGCTAGTCATTGCAACAATTTGGATATCAGGAATTGGGATCACAGCAGGAGCTCATCGCCTATGGTCACACAAGTCTTACGTCGCATCATTGTCATTAAGGATTTTACTTATACTTTTGTTTACAATTGCCGGTCAGGTTAGTTAAGGTACACATTTTTTTGCTTTAATTAAGAATGTACTTCTTAGAGAGATGCGTACACATGGGCCTTGGATCATAGAATACATCATAAATTTTCAGAGACTAATGCTGATCCTCACAATGCTAAGCGAGGATTTTTTTTTGCACATGTAGGTTGGTTATTTCTTACACCTCATCCCGATGTAGAAAAAAAACGAAAAATAATAGACATGTCTGACCTAGAAAACGATTCTGTAGTCATGTTTCAGCGTAAATGGTATATACCCTTGTTTACCATATTTTCAATCATTCTTCCAGTCTTCATACCTTGGTATTATTGGAATGAAAGTATGTGGTGTTCTTTTTGGATAAATTTCAATTTCCGGTTTTGTTGTACGTTGAATGTGGCTTTCTTTGTAAATAGTGTAGCACATATGTGGGGACGTAAGCCATATGATAAGTAAGTCAATATGATAAGTAAAAAAAACATGCGTAATAATTATAATAATAATAAATTTATTAATTTTTTAGGAATATCAGTCCTGTTGAATGTCCTATAGTGTCGTTTTTAGCTTTAGGTGAAGGTTGGCATAACTATCATCATGTATTTCCATGGGACTATAAAACTGGAGAATTCGGATCATACAAATTAAACGTAACAACAGGATTTATTGATTTATGTGCAAAGTTAGGTTTAGCTACTGGACGTAAGAAATTTCTTTTTGTAATATTACAATAATCTGCACAAATATACTTCTAGGGAAATTTGTTTCTTCAGATATGGTAATTCGTCGAGCTGCAAAATGTGGAGATGGTACTCGATTTTTATGTGATGAATTCGCACATTCCGATCAAGTTTGGGGCTATGGTGATAAAGACATGTCAAAGGAGGATACTAAAGAATTAGTTGAAATGCTAAAATAAAAATTTTATCCCTCTTATTTTATTTATGACAAAACATTAACATATATAAATTTCATTAAGTTGTTATTATGATTATGCTTAATAATGTTTTTTTGCTTTAAAAAGTTTAGACAATTTTATGTTTTAAATGTATATTTTATGAAATAGAGTCTTTTAAAAGTATGCTTAAGTTAAATAATTCTAATTGAACTTATTTTTATTTTACAAAATATTTGTATTGAATTATTTTTAAAGCATAAATAAATTAAAATATACGTGCTGTACACAATACATTATTACAGTTTTTAAATCAACTTACACTTATCCCATATTTAGAAATAAACATTTAAACGAGTAGCCATAGTTTACGATAGCTTATTTTAAATAAAATTTACGTAAATGTAATAATGTTTTCATAAACATATAATGAATGCACGCTCTTAAATTCAAATGATTGAATTATATTTACATTCGAATAAATATTTATGATTTAAAAGTTCATTATTTTAATTTTGGGGTTGTTCTACATAATTAAGAACCAAGGTTTTGTTTTTGAAATTGCTTAGTTTAGTTTCATTTGTCTTTGGGATTGTTAGAGTTTGATTAGAGTACCGTGTACCTTTCGACGAAATTTCTAGGACTTGGTTTAAAGCAAAAAGTTCCTTTCAAATTTGGTACTTTTAAACTATACTTTCTGATTTAGTTTAATATATTTTTGTTGAATTATTTGAACATAATAAATATATATATTAATACATTATTGTAATGTATTAATTATTTTTACGAATATTTAATATAAAGAAATTATTTTTAAAATAAACAATTCATTGAAACCCTTAATTTCAAATTAAATTCATAAGAATAAGTGATAATAATGAAGTTTTTAATATAACATACATAATATATATATATATATATAAATATATATATATACTTTCTGATTATATATTATATATATATATATATATATTATATATATATTATTATATATATATATATATATATTATATTATATATATATATATATATATATAATATATATATATATATTATATATATATATATATATATATTCTGATTTATATATATATATTAATATCAATATGTATAATATATCGGTAATAATATAATATTAATTTGAAAAGCATTTATATATGGTGACTGCAACTAGAATGGAGGAGAATTGCTTAGTAAATAAGTCGAAATCTGATCAAATTACAAAAAACATGAAGCGAGAGGTAAGTTGGCCATCGGTCCTTTTTTATATTCATCTGAATATTCTTGGACTGTATGGTATATTTGTCATGTTTACGAATACGTCGCTGCAAACAATCCTCTTCAGTGAGTGTTTTCTTTAAAATAATTAAATTAAATTTTTTTGTTCAATTTATTATACAATTTTAGCTTTATCATTAACACTGTTGGGAATATTAGGTGCTACTGCTGGTGTTCATAGATTGTGGGCACATCAAACATATAAGGCATCAACTTCATTAAGGTTATTTCTAATGTTGTGCCAAACTTTGGCCGGACACGTAAGAAAATTACACATTTCAACAAAATCATTTTATTAATATGTATTCTAGACCATTTCTAAAATTTAATTTCAATAAATTAATATTAAATAACTGACAATAAGTCAGTTATTATAAATATTCTTTCTCATATTGCAATATAAGAAGTACAAATCTACAAAATTTAATTTTATAAAAGAAATTTTAAATCAATACCTTTTTTTCAGGGATCCATTTATAATTGGGTTCAATTGCACCGCCTTCATCACCAACAATTTCAAAAAGAACATGATCCTTACTATAGCAACCGTAATTTTGTTTCTGCTCATGTACGCGCTCAATGTATGATGTACACAGTAAAGCAGCAAGCACTATTAAAAGAGGTGGATATGTCTGATCTTAATGCTGATAAAATAGTAATGTTTCAAAAAAAGTACCGACCTCTGCACATTTACATATTCATACAATTTTTTAAATACTTTCTTTCTTTAGATTCTATTGGATACTATTTTTTGTTCTACATGTCTTTCTGCCGATTAATACACCATTCGAATATTGGAATGATTCACTATCTGCTTCACTATTTGTTGCATTTTCACTACGTTATCTTATTGTTTTAAACACCTCTTGGTTAGTCAATTCTGCACATTTTATTTGGGGTTTAAATAAGAATTTTAAGCCATCGGATTCCAATAGTGTATTTTTCATTACAAAAAGCTACTGGCCCCAATATCATTATATACTGCCGAACGATTATCAAAGCGGAGAGTTTGGAGAGTATTCTCAGGATTGTATAACTGCTATAATCAGAGTTTTTGCTGCACTAGATTTGGCTACAGATTTAAATACTATCAGCTCAGTAGCCGTCAGAAATGGGTTGACTGTTGCCGTAGAAACCGGGCGACCTATTTTAGAATGTATACAAGAAGCAGGTTTAAGAGATATGCAACTTATGCCGAAAAATCATTTCTTAAATAGAGAAAAATTTTTGTAATACAACGTTTTTAACGAAAAATATAAGTATAATTTAGTTTTGTCAAATATATATTAAAAATCTATCAATTGATTTTTTATTACAATAAAAAAAGCATAACGAAAAGTTTTCATTAAAAAGTTGTACTATATTTTCGGTTTTAAATTTACAAGGTTTTTATTCTTAAAAAATTTGCTAGCAGTTCCTAATAAGGAATATTATCAATTGCAATCATAAAAGCGTTTGTTATTTGTGATATCTTAAAAAGTATAATAATAAAAATAGTTATGTGTACGCATTTTCGTACTACGTAGAGTTCTAAATCGTTGGAATCAATTTTGAAAACAGCGTTAATAAATTGCTTGCGTGCGTATAAAAGTTTTTACATGAGTGAAACTCATCTGTAATTGTTATATAAAAAACTAGTAGATGACCCGGCGAACTCTGTTCCGCCGAGCCATACTATCGCGGCGCTGTTCACGTGCAATTTCTTGTTCTTCTTCAGTCCTTAAATTTGCAGTATTTCGTATTCTTCTTGCATTACGGCTTTGTCGGGAAAGATTCGATCGTCTTGGTCGCGGCATTATTAAAAAACTAAAAACTCAAATTTTCAACCATACCATACATTATAATTGTTAATTATTTATTTTGTTGAGTTTGCAACAACCAGGTAGTTTTATTGATTAAAAACGATATTTATTGCAACACAAACTTATATTGATCTAATACAACTTTTAAAAACACATTAACTAAGTTATATTTCTATCTGTTAAATTTTAATAAAATATTTTCTTATATCAAAAATTTGATAATTTCAAAACCTACTTTGTCGTTTCTCACCACTGACGTTTCATGTCAAGTCACACGGGAATGCTGTCGAACGGGATAAAAAGTATCCTATGTCCTTCTCCTGGCCTTAAACTACCTCCCTGCCAATTTTCAGCTAAATCGGTTCAGCCGTTCTTGAGTTATAAGTGGTGTAACTAACACAACTTTCTTTTATATATATAGATTTCAGCTCATAAATTTATATATTGTTTACTGTTTTATACCTTTCACAGAACTAACCTGAAAATCGTGTATTTAGTCTTCCCAAATGTTGGCAGGCTTCTTAAATTTTATCATTGTTTAGAAAGTTAAAAGCACTAAATTACTGTAATAATAAATATTTCGAAATCGTTAGCAGACCGATTTAACAATAAAATTTATTTTAGCTAGCTTATTTCCTAACTAACACAAGTCATCCTACAATCTGCTTGCTACACTTACAAACTATGTATATGGCCGTTTCGAAATGATCAACGCAAATAACTTTTAACTGCAAGTAAATTTTTCCAAACTCCTGCTGGTCATATTCCATATTCTTAATTATGACTTAAACTCTTATAATGCTTAAGCATTTTTACAATCGCTCAATCATATATAAATTCTTGTGAACTTTTATGAAAGACTGAAATTTTCGATCGAATTTTTTAAAAAACAATTTTTAGTTTTATTTGAAAACAATAACAGTTTAATATAACCTCAATAATAAGGGTCTGCAAATAATTTTAGTCTCTTCGTTTCATTCTGAAATGGAACGATCGCTTGAAAAGTGTTTATTTTCAATCGATGGTGTAAATTATTCAATGATAATTATATTTACAACAATATATAAAAATTTAAATTTAACATCTTACGACTAAAGGATTATTATTTATTACTATATAAAAATTATGCTTAATCTTAAAGAAAATAAATATTAGCTATGTGTTAAACCGCGCCTCCTCAAATCCCAATCAGTCAATTCAAATATCTTTACGAATTTAAAATTATTTAATAAAATTAACGATATAAGAACGTCACTTTTCATGAATATGAATGGTATATAACTGAAATCTTCCAAATTAAGTTAAATTGATGAAAATATTTGAAAATTGTAGGTATATTTTAATATTATCAATATATACTATTAACAATATATAGTCCTTAATACATATTATTTACTAATTTATTTTATTTAAATTCATGTTATATAAATTCTTTAATTATTTCACAAACTAACCTAAAAAAATTTCAAAATTGTCATAAAAATAAAATGATTTATACAGGTAATTTACTATTTTGTTTTATTTTAATTTATTTTTTAAGTCAAAATACGTTAATATCTTGTCTTAATTATACCAATTAATTTATTAGTTTTATATATATATATGTAATATACAATATGTAACGTTTTTAAGATATGTAAGTTCAAATTTATCTCTGTAAAATTTATAGCCCCAGCGCATATTCAAAAAGATTAATTAATACAATTTGAATAATTTTTAAGTCTAGTTATTGGTAAAAATATTTCTTAATTTTATTTTGTTTATAGTGTTCTTCAATGTACTATCAATTAGGCATGTGATAAAGACTTAACCACCAAGAATTCCCATTAGTTTATTTTATATATTGTATTCATGTTTCGGAGTGACTGTTTCTCTTTTGGTATAAATACTATATATTCTATGTTAGCATTTTTTCGATTTTAGGTTTTCGTTTTCATCAAGCTTTGTACTTTCAGTGCTACTTGATTCAGCGTCATCGTCCTCATCCTTGAATTCAGGATCCGGTACTTCAGGCATATGACAATGTGCATTTATATAACTATTAGATTTTGCTGCAAATGCATGTGTACCATCGCCATATTTTTCAAGTGTTTTTCGCACTAATTCTTTAGAAGGTTCCTTCATATTCCATGCCCAACCAATTTTTTTAAATAGATCTAAAACCATTGTTGTAAAATTGACGGAATATTTTCCAAGCTCTGCAGCCTTATAATCCCAAGGAAAAACATGATGATAATTATGCCAACCCTCACCCATTGCGAGTATGGACACATAAATATTTTCAGTTGGAAAAATACGTCTGCAAATAATTTTTATTAATCATTATTTATTTTATTTTTAATTACTTACTTATCGTAAGGACGTGTTCCCCACATATGTGCTGCACTATTAACAGACCATGTAAAATTTAAACTGCTTACATAACGGAATATACATTGGGTTACAAAGGCTAGATACCATTCTTCATTCCAAAAATATATGGGTACAATTGTTGGTAGAATAAAACACAACAACATTTTTAATGGGATAAAATATTTTTGATGAAACTGAACAACTGGATCGGCTAATACATCACTCATATCGATTTGTCGTCCTCGGCGTAACACCTCAGGATGCTTTAACATCATAAGCCAACCAACGTGAGCAAAAAAAAATCCTCGATTTGAATTATGTGGGTCTGCATCTGTTTCTGAGTACTTATGATGTACACGATGGTCTCGCACCCAATCATATAATGTATTCTGAACAAATCCCAAAAAAAAAAACAAAATATTAAATATAATTTAATATTTTTATGCAATTATAAGAGAAATTTTATTTATTTAATGAAAACCACAATTTTATATTTGAATTGTTATTATAAATATTTTGTAGTGACATATTAATTTATAGGAATTCAAATAATTTATCATGAAGCAATAACTACTAAATTCTGATGGACATTGTAATTAACTTTGCTTTATTAGATTTCATACATTCAATGTAATAATCGCTACCGTCACTAATTAAAAAAATTTTTTTAATATGTTATTCAGATTATATTGAAAATCAAAACAAATCTTTAATTTTAACAATATGAACACAAAACCAAATAAACAACTTCGATTCATACGAACTTTATTTGCGAATCACATAGATTAACGCTTACATTAAATAAGTTATTATATATAATTTACCTGTCCGGCGAGAGAAAAGCAAGACATCAGTATAATGCGCAATGCAGTATTGGCTTTGTATGAACGATGTGTCCAAAAACGATGAGCGCCAGCGGTGACTCCAAAACCTGCTACTCCACCAGTAAAAAACGCTGAAATTAAATGCAATAAAATTGGTTTATGATTTATGTTGTAATAAATTATCAGGACATAAAATTGAAAATTTGTTCAAGTGTATAATAAGTTTAAAACGCCTTCTATGAATTTTTTAAATAAAATATATTAACGACTACTCGCTAATTTACAACAATTTCTGTATACGTTTAACAATAGTTTTATTTATTTGTCAACTTTATTAAAATGTTCAATATTTTAGTTAGAATGAAGCCATTAATTAACACTTTTCATTCGGAAATGTGTGAGCAAATAAAAATGTGTGGTGTTATTAATTGAAGCATTTATTTTGAATTGCATAGGAAGATACAAAAACATAAAGAAAATTTGTTAAAATGTCTGTAAACAAAATACCATTTGGACAATCACTTCTGGACACACGTCAAATCCAAATCTCACTAATAAGTAAGCGCGTAAGTTAGTGCGTGCGAATTTAATACACACATAACAATCTTAATTAGTCAAATTTTGTCGGAGTTTTAGTCTTTTGTTAGTTACGACAATAACATTGGTTCGACCTTCGCAGTTAGTATTTAGATATTTTTGATATGAGTTCAATATCATATTGACTACTAATTTAGGGCATATTCAGTTCAACAAATAAAGGCGTTTCGGGTTTTTAGTGGCTAAGCTTATTACAATTCCTTTAATAAAACACTAACTTGTAAGCTGCAGTTACCAAAACCAATATGTAAATTTTGAAACAGCAAATTCGAAGAGAGTCACCCATCGTCAAGATTTGTGAAAAGTTGCGCGTGTTTGATTAATACACTTGAAGGTCAACACCTTTTATAAGTTTTTCGAAATTTCGAATCTAATTATGCTGTGTTTTTATCTTATTTATTTATGTAAATTTTTATCAAGATTCAATTTTGTTTGAATAGTAGATTATACAGGTTCATCTAAAATTTTTTTTGCGATATTACTAAAATCCTACATCTATTCAGGCATGTGTGGGAATATAAAGCAAACAAATTGCTTTGCTAGGTTTTGATAGCAAAGCAATTCAATTTTCGGTTTAAATAATTGTAATTTGTATTTCCTCCCGAGGCCCTTAGAATCCTGATGTTTAACATATGGACATATCTTGAACTCTACATCAACTAATTTTAAAAGTTTTTAAAATTCAAATTATATTTATAAAATGAATTTATTAACAAATTTATTTACATTTTTAATAAAAAAACACTAGAAAAGAAATTTTATATATATAACGTATGTGTTTCATTAAAAAAACTATATTTATGAATTCATTTAGTTATTCACACGAGAAGACTAGCAACAATGTTAAAGTGTAATATATTAAAACTGAAATGAATAAATATTTTATTTCGTTAGAGCTAAACAACACAAGTGGGTTTATGCCTTTAAATACGTAAAAATAAGTATTTAAATTTATTGGGCTTTGAAATAAGCCTAGATTACGAAAACGAAAACGAATAAATTAATATAAAAATTGTTTTAGGTAACATAATTTGTATTATGCATAGGACTTATAAAATCATTATATTCATTTAAGAATTCAGCAAGTTAATTAATTCTTTTCTTCTAGATAGAAAATTTATAACAAAATACATTATAAACTTTATGAAGAATTTTTTTTTTGTGGAACTTAAGTGACTTCTTTTGTTTTATGTACTCAATTTATAGTTTTTGACAGTATGAAAATATATATGCACCGAGTGTTACATTAAAAAAACATTTAATGGGAACATTTGATGAGAAAATAAAATTGAATTACAACAATAATTCAATTTCAATTACTACAACTACTTTGTATAAACACTTTATAAAAAATCAAACACTGATATTAAAACCAATAATTGTTGTATTTTGTTAGTTCCAAGAAGTAATTAGTTATACTTACCCCATACGACTGTATATAAATTTAATTTTTCCATTGGATATAAAAAAATGCAAATAACTGCAACGATGTGCAGTAATGAAATTTGTATCACTTTATCCCATTTTAGAGGCGCTTTGAAATTGACACCCAAAGCAGTATCTCCTTTAAATGATCTTGTATATTCATCCAAATTAGTATGATAAACGGGCGAAAGCAGTACCTTCTTGGAAGTGTTATATGTTTTGCCGTTATTTTTTTCTATTGTGAAATCGTTAATTGCTTCATTCATAAGCTCATCATGTGCAATTAGCACAGCATCATTAGCCGTCGATGAATCATTTTTAGGTTCAAGTCGTCTTGATTTATGTTCTTGTTGAACATTTGATACGATTGCCTTATTTGTATACGTTCGATCGGACATGAATAGATGACCCATTTTTATGTTATTTTTAAAATATAATTAAAACGTATGCAATTATAATTAAACACTTGTAGGTATACTAAACAGAAGTTCGTCTTAAAATTGAAAACCAACACTTAATTGTTTCTATGATAGCATATGATCTTAGTTTCTTTTATTTTTTAAACCCATTTTTATTTAACAGTGATATATGTATAAATAAATATATGTAAGCAATGTTTAAATGATTTAATTATTACAATTTTATAACTTTATGTTATTTTTGAACCTTAACACAAGCAACACAACTTTTTCTCTAATTTTGCTTTTTCCCTAGTTTTACGATTAACACTTCAATTCAGTTTTTGGATTGTATTTGTATTTTGAGGTATAATTTTGAATATTCGTTTCTTATGGAGTTGAACGCTTCTTCTTATTTGTTTTTTATCTATGTTTCCCTTTGTTTTATCCGCGAATTGTTTCTAACGATCGTTTCACGGCCCTGCTTCGTAGACAAATGACCGTTGATGTAAATTAAAGTTTTGTATCTGTCAAATATGATGTTCAAATCCGCTCAGATTCTGTGCTGGTTCAAATTACATATACACTCACAGAATACACAGTTAGTGTCGTATGAATGTATCGGCGTGGAACCTAAAGTGAGCTTAAGGCCAAATTTGTGCCACAACACAAATTTTTTTTTCTTTATACTTAATGTTGTTTCAGATAATAGCAACTCATCTTATGCTTGACGCATACATACCCATCTTGTAAAATTTTCATGTGTTCGACTCACACATGAACCAAAACGTGCAGCTAAGTTCACCTGTAACAATAAAAACAAATATTACGTTGCGAAAGCTCCACAAAGAAATAAAAATCTGAAGATCGTCAATCAATTACATATTGTACCATGGATAAAAATTAATGTTTTTGAAGTCGTTATTGCTGTTGTGTTGATTGTTGTTGCACATTATTGGTTTTCTTATTTTGCAGCTTATTATTCTTATAAGCAAATCACCTGCACTTAGGATACGTGTGCTTAAGCACATATATGTAAACAAACACAGCCGCGATTACAACGCTTATAGCTATAAGCTGTACGCTTCCCACATAACGTTGGATTGCATACGTAACCGACGCGCTATTAAATGCTTCATATTTCATTTAAAATTTTTGTTGCAAAAGATGCGGTTTATTGTAGTTGTTTGAGCGTTATATAATAATTTGATATTTGAATGTATGCAAAAACAAAAAAGTTACTTATATTGGTCGTGCAGAATTGAAATTATAAGTGCAAGTATATTGAATATTCGTTTTCATTACTTTAGATCCTTTGAACGTAGTTTTTACCAATTTAACATAGCTACAGCATTAACATTATCACAAAGATAATAATAAATATATCAAATATTCACAATATTAAAAATATAAAAAATATATAATTTAATATTAAATGAACAAAGGTTGTCAAATTTTTTTGAATTTGCATGTTAACACTACTTTCTCCTTACGAAAAAATATTTTTTTTAAAGATGATATTATGTATATGTTTTACATTTAATTTAAATATATATACATGTGCATGTTTGTTTCTATTTGCAATATAATACCAACATTTATTTTGAAGACATTCAACAATAGCGGCTTGTATCTTGTAAATTTTTTTTTTATTGTATATAAAGAGTTTATATTGAATAAGTACCACCTTTGAGTGCGTATCAAAATCTTGACTATTACCGTTAATTTTTTGAAAGTAATTAACGTAATTATCAATAAAAATTCATCTTCTCCTTCAATAATGTAAAAATAATTTGTTAGCGATAATTAAAGACATATGTATGTGTATGTAATATTTTATGTTAGAACTCTGAATTATATTTGAGTTGCATTCCGTAATTGTATTATACTAAAGATACGAAAACTGTACCCAAAAACGGAGATTTAATTATTTCTTAAAAACTTTGATAGTTATTTGAATAAATGAATAAATGGTTTAATTTTTATTTAAGAACCTGACAACAATGACTTAACTTTCACAAATTTAATCAAGTTATCATTATAATTATTTAATATAAACAGTTGTGGGCACATAAACCATGTTTACCACACCATAAATTATTATCTTGAGTGATGTAAACTTTTAGTCTTTAACAGCATTACTATTTAACAAGAAACTCAACACAACGATATATTATCGCAATATATTATTCTTACTTAGCTTAAAGAAAAATTATTAACTTCCAACGAGAAACTTATAGAGTGGTATTCAATTCAATTTAAATTACTGCCTTATAAAATATGTCCCCCAACATTTAACCTTTTATTTATTAACCTTTTTATAATTTTGTGCTCACATGCATTATGAGCACATAAAAAAGTATATTGTAGTTTCATCGTTTTTTCTGTTGAAAATCGTTGACAAAGTTTAATTTCAGAAATAACTTAATAACGTAAATATAAATAAATAAAATATAATATAAAACTCTTGGTTAGCAAAATTCAAATTGCTGAGTCACATAACATTACAAAAAATGAAAAGAAGTCAAATTTAGTGATTTCAAACGACTGACTTGGTGTACGAAATATATTGCACATATGAAACTACGTATAAAGCTTCGTCTACAAATTATGTGTTTGTCGTGATATGTATGTATGAAATCAAATGTATTAACTATAATGTAGAAATTTATAAAAAAATTTTTATTTCAAATACCAGTAAAATGAAAAGTACCTAACACAACAGAAATTACGAAATTGTCTCACAGACTGGCAAGCAAATGGAAAAAACTTAAATCGCTATTTCAACAGGTGCTGATAAAGCATCACATTTGAATGCACAGATAAAAAACGAAAATAAGCACCACTGTTTTAATGACCGCAAAATAGTGTTTAAGTTGGGGAATTTAATTGCAAATTGAAGGAGAAGTAAATACATTTTTTAGGTTATTAACACTATTTTACATACATGGCTATAGATGATTTAGCAAATATGAAACTGTCAACTGAAAATCACAAAATTATAGAGTTACTATATAAGTAATATAAATATTAATTTATAAATATTAATTTATATTTATTAAATTAATTAATATTTATTATATTAATTTATATATTAAAACTACTAATTAAGTAATTGCAAGTGTTTAAGAATGCAATTTTTAACACACTTTAAAAAAATGTAGTTCTTAACAGAACTGCACATTTTTAAACTAACAACAAATATAGAAAAATTTTTGTTAAATCATGTAGGAAAATTTCGAACAACAATAAATAAATTGCTATAAAAATGCACTTAAACATTTTTTAACCACATCATTGGTGTCATTTATTATTTATCTTCTATCAAATTCGTAAAAATTGTCTTAAACATACTCTCATACTTATATAACTTTACTTATATACCTGTCTTCCATTTAATTACTAAATTCAGATAAATAATTATTAATTACCACAATAAATCATTTTGCATTGTTCAATTTGAATTTATTTATTGCTTAAAATAATTTGTAATTAATTTATCCTAGCTTTATTACGTATCAATAGATTTTCATATACAATTTCATTGTAGCAATTTAACTTAATATACGTAGGTATGTAAATGCTTATTCTCATATACACATGGAAAATGTGTTAATAACATTTTCTTATTTTTAAACTCAATTGTATTACCAAATATTTGTTTAATAATTTAACTTTATAAATAAATATTGGTTTTGAAATACCTTAAAAATCAGAAATCAAAAGTCAAATAAAAGGCTAAATTATTTGTAAATATTTTTGTTTTACTTTTTATTGTTCATAACAGGCTTCAAAACCACATTTGACCAAGATAGGCAGTAGTCGTATTTGTGTAATTTTATGTCTTTTTATTGGCTTTAATAATACTTATGCTAAACAGAATGGATAGTTAAATTTGTTACAAATGCATTTAATATTAGTCTTTTTTGTTTGATATAATATATTGCAAACCGAAACTTATAAATCACTTTAAAATATTAACCATATAAGCGACCAAGTTTCTGTTCGTTTGTTCTGTTTTCTTTTTCAATTAATTTACAGAACTCATCCAGAGATTTTTTTAAAAAAAAAAAACCTCCGTTTAGAGTTATTCCCTACAGAACGTGTATTACATGAGTATACTATAATGATTATGTTTTATATTGCAATATATACATTGATTGCACTTAGAGTCAATCAATAATTTAAAATTTATGTATCGATTTTAACCTCCATTTTTCGTGAAAACATTATTTTGCTGGTAGCAATATGTATTATGAAATTTAGATATACTAAATATTTACAAATACTTTTTCTCAACAATAAAATATACATATATCCGTAGCTTTGATTTTCCGAGATTTAAACATATTATTTCCCCGACTTATAAAACTGAAGCGATATGATGAAGTGATAATCAATAATCCATTCAAGGCGTAAAGAGGGATTTTTAAGAAACCTTGCAGTTAATAGAGAAGAAAAGTGCTCAATTGCACTGGCTCGAATACCCTCAACATAAATAATGATAATTTTAAAAATAAATTAACTTACTTAAAAATAATTACTTAATTGATTTGAATAAATGTATGTAACAAATTTTTATAATTGAGCATCTATTGAGTCATGATATAGATTTTTAATATCGATCATATAAAAAATTTAAGTACAGTGAAATTTCTCATAACGGACAGTTTCAATAGCCAGACAAATTTCATGAACATAGATAGCTCTTTCATTAATTTTTTCATACAATAATTCCCTTTTCCATTCATTTCAATAACCGGACGCTCTAATAACAGGACGCGGACACTATATTTTAAACAATTTTGATAAAAAAATCTCTCATAAGTGGGCAAAATTCAAAAAATAACGAACCGAATACTGAAATTCTATTTGTATTTTTGTTAAAATTATGTTTTAGAAATTATTGAAGTGTTCGAAAACGAAAAATTGTCTGTACATGAAATTTGGAAAATATAATTTTAATTTAATAAAAAATGGAATTGTGAACAATTTCGTATATCTGCCCTTTGCAGATATAGGATATACTTACATGGATAAATTCAAAATAGTGACAGAATGACATTCATTAGCGCCCTACGCAGAAATAGGATATACTTACATGAATAAATTCAAAATAGTGACAGAAGGGCAGTCATTAGCGCTAAATTTAAACAAAAAAGAAATAAATCCCAGGATTTAT